TACTTTAGCAAAAAATGATTTTGAACTCATTCATATGTTGTTTTATGGTTGCTTTGGATTTTGTTCATACTCAATGTAAATAATCAGTTTGTATTTATAATAATGTTTTGGATGTGACTATTTATAGATACTATGCGTGTATTCACAATAGGCTACTTACACATGCAATATGTATTTTTTAATTTTTTGTACATACATCAACTGATTTAGATAAGGAAAACATACAAGGAGCGTACATTCATTGACTCAGGGTTTGGATTTTGGCAGGCAATCTTAATGTAAACCTTAGCCCTTTCTGCGATATATACCCCCTAACTCTTTCCACCATATATGTACACTCCCTTCATATTCTCCTCAATAAAACTAGTCAATGTGTATACACTCTCTGCATGTATATATAACTCTCTGCAATGTATATATAACTAGTAAATGTATATACACTCTCTGCATGTTCCCCCTATTTAAATCAATTGATGTATGAATATATATATATATATATATATATATATATATATATATATATATATATATATATATATATATAATTATATATATATATATATATATATATATATATATATATATATATATATATATATATATATATAAAGATATATTATTACATTATTTAAGTCTTTCACCCTCCTTATGAAAGTATTCAGTTAAGTTTATATATCATGTTATTCTTATGCTTTACAAATTCGTGAATATGTACAAGGTAAAAGTCCATTGGCTTTAAAGTATTTGACTTATCTTCAACTTTCAGCCCTAATCCAATAGAAGCAAGTTGTTTAGTAGAAACTGTAGTTTCTTAGAAAGTTAAAAAATGTTTTGTGGACTACAGTTAGTAGATGTACACAATAAAAATCTTGTGCATGATGTGCATCTAGTAAAACTATTTTCCAGGATGATATTGGTAGATTTTGAGATTTAAGAGTGATTAATATTGACTCAAATAATTCCATTTTATCTTTCAATTTGCCCTTTACCAGCTGGGTTATAAGGAGCTGTCCTGCTAGTTGCAATACCTTTTATGATGAATCATTGTTTTCATTCAGAAGAAATTAAAGATTCCTAAGAATGAATTTGTTGTGAAGATTAATTGAATCATAACAATATCTGTCTGATATTGCGGAAAAAAAAGCTGATGCCATTCCAATAACATTCACTTCATAAATAACTTCTAAATTGAGTAAGTTTATTTGTTTAAGGTCAACCGGGGTAAAATGGGTAGCTGAGGTAAAATAATTAGAGCAGTTTATTAATTTTGTTACAAATCTATTAATGTATTAAAATAAGTTTTAGTTTTTTATAATAGTGAAATATTTTTTATCAAAAAAATTGTTATTTAGAATTTTTGTTTCTGTGCTGCTTCTCTATAGGGTGTGCCGCCATTTTGGTTTTGGTTTCCATGCGCTTTCGCTAACAGGTAAAACTTTGTTGAAAAAATGATGTATTTGACATATACAGTCACAAGTTACAGATTTATAAGCAGGAGAAGTTCATCTTTTTAGTTAATAGTAACAGGAGTGTGAAAAACCAAACAATTTTAAATATTAGTTGAAAAACCAGAATGGGGAAAAATGGGTATAACAAATACTAAGATAAGCTAATGCTACAGTCACAGTGATATCTACTAGCATTTATTATTATGTAATATGAATTAAATGCAGAAATGAATATACATTAATTCATTTGTTTTGTTTTGTTGCAGGCTTTCAACAGTTGCTGATTTGATTTAAAATACTGAGGAATTATATCTGCAAAACACAACCCAACTATACAAAGGAGGACTTGAAAAATGCAAGACTTATCATTGAACAAGGAAGTTCAGTTTACAAAGTTTAAGGGAAAAGAAAATTACATATGAAACTTTAAGGAGATGGCTAGTTCAAACTCCAAAGCAAGTTGGTTTTAGACGATTTCCTGTTCTCACTGCTGATGAGAAATGCTTAATAATTTGCACACTGTGCTGTTTAGCTGATAGTAGATTTCCATGGTATCATTTTGAGTTGATATCAATGGTTAAGTGTTTCATTCAAGAAACAGGAATAACTAATCTTTTAAAGACAACTGCCCTGGTGAAGACTGGATTACTGGGTTTGAAAAGAGATGGAAAGGGAAACTCTTAAAACGAAAGCCTGATCTTTTAACCAAAGCAAGGGCAGAAGAGCTGACAGAACGTGTTGTCAATGCCTTTTTTCAAATGTATGAAAATGTATTAGTTAAAAATGATGTTCTTGGCAAACCGCACAGGATATTTAATCTTGATGTAGTTGGTTTAGGGACAAACCTTATTGCTTCTAAAGTGTTTGTGCCAGTTTCATCACGCACTGCTTATCTGAAATCAGCATGTGGAGGAAAAGCAAGTAACAGTGTTCTTTTCTCTGTATCTGAATCAGGATGGTATCTACCTCCATTTATTGCGTACAAAGGGCTACATCTCTATAAGTCATGGACACTAGGTGGACCTCCAGGTACTTGTTATGCAACAACAAAGTCAGGATGGACGGAAGATGCAGTTTTTGAGACATGGTTTAAACATTTATTTAAAAGCGTTGTACATATTGAGAAACCTGTGCCTCTTATTTATGATGGCCATGGCAGTCATCTAACTTATGGAACAGTGAAGTCCGCAATGGCAAACAATATCATAATACTATGCTTGCCACCTAACACAAGTCATGTCTTCAGCCTCTGAATGTTGGGGTCTTTAGACCATTAAAGCTTGCATTGAAGGAAATTCTGAAGAGATGGTTTAGAGAGAGAGAGTCATCTCCAGAAAGTAAGCAAGGAGGTTTTTCCTTGCCTAGTAAAGCAACTCTATGACCAATTAACAGAGAAAAATGCAGTAAGTGCATTCAGAGGTAGTGGGCTCTATCCAATCAACATAAAAGCAGTTCGACATAGAATTGTTTCAGCTGTCAAGCCAGTGGAAAGCAATCAACAGCCAGTGGTTTCAGCTTCAAATGTTATGGAGTCAGAAGCACACAGACCTATGCTTCAAGTTCAACCAAGTGTTTCACTTTTAGAGACTCTGGGCACTAACAGTAACCATTGTCATCAGCGGGCAATTTTGATAACAATTTCACCAGGTTATTCACAAAACAACATAAATGCAATTAGCAATGCTGGAAGAAAAGTGCAGGCAAAGGTTGGAGAAGTCTTAACAACAGAGGATATCGCGACCAGGCTGTTTAATGAAGAGAAAGACAGATTGGCAAAGAAATCCAAAATAGCAGGTTTCAAAAATGTAAGCCAAACTAGTAGGCCTAACCGACAAACAAAAGAACTAATGACTGAAGAGATTGAGAAAGTCCCTGAAGAAAAGGACAACTTCAATGTAATTGTTGGGGATTGGGTGCTGGTAAAGTATGCTGGTAAAAAGATAAACCATAATTTTTTCTACGGACTTGTGATTGAAACCCCAGATGAAGGCCTGTACACTGTGAAGTTTCTGACAAAGTCACCATTACAGCCATACTATGTTTTTCCTGAGAAAGATGACATTGATGTCATTGTGGATAACAACATCTTGAAGAAATTACCACAGCCTTCCTGCAATAGTTGTGAACAACACAAATTCCCTTAGCTAGATTGATTTGTGAGACTTGTTTAATCAAGGAAGCGTAAAACTAAATGATTTTTGTGGATCATCCTCACTCAAATATACATATGTGCAGTATAAATGTAAACTTTCCACGCACATTTTGATCACAAAAAGTGTAGTTCTGTTTAAGTTTGAATAAAATTTCAGAAAAGTACAGTTATTTTTAATTATTTTTATTTAAAACGTTTAAGTTTTACCATTAGAACCCCTTACCCATTTTACCCTATAGTATACCTACTTTACCCAGCACCCTGGGGTAAAATGGGTATAGTATGGGGTAAAATGAGTATAGACTCTATCTCAAAAGTTGTAAAATAAAAATATTCTCTCTAAATTGATTTTAATTCTAAATAGGTTAAATGTAAAATTTTTGAAATAAAAATTCAGTGAAATTAATTACAGTTCAACCAGTGCAACTGCAAATGAAAACCATCTCAATTTTATACCCATTTTACCCCGGTTAACCCTATTATTAATGAAACTTTTATTTGTACTTATCACTATCAATCAAGGCTTCTGCTCTATATATGTCATTAATAATAGTTTTGTGACAGAATTGGAAAAGAAAATTGGTGGAGGCTGAGATGATGGAACAGAAGTAGTTATCCTCAATTTTAGGTATGGCTGCTAAGAAATTAGAAAGGGCCACATCTAAAAATCTTGCTTGATCAAAGGCTGATGTAAGATCTTATGTTTTATTTTCTAATAAAAGTTGGTGTATAATGTTGGAAAGCAAAACATTTGTAAAGAATGCAGAAAAATGAATATGTCAAAAAGTGGTTCCTTCTTCCAATTGGTGGTTCAATTAAAAATATTAAAGTTGTAAATAAAAACTTTTAATTTGTAATGTAATTAAATCTCTAAAAATTACAATATAATTTTTTTTTAATATGTAGAAAAGGTTTTATTTTATGAATACAAATATTTATAATGAAAAAAAGGATGAAGAAAAATGAGTCTTTTAAAACTTTTAAATTTCAACTTAATTGAAAAAAACATTAAATCAGATTAAAAATTTACATTTTAATTTACAGATTTTCGTTTTGTACAAATCTTTGATTGATATTTTTAATTGTATCTTGCCGAAATTGCTAAAAAGATAGATACATTTAAAAAATATCTCATTTGGTTGTAAATTTTACTGCATAGATATTTGTAAACAATAAGTTCACATTACAAATTAATTGCTCTCTAGTATATAAAATTCCAATTATAGATAGTTTTTGCATTAAAACCAAAAAGTATAAACTGAGTTTTAAAGAATTAAAAACAGAATTTAGAAGTATAAGTACAGAAAGCTTTTTTTGAAGAATTCAACAGGCAACTTAAAATATTAATTTTAAACTATCCAGACAACTTTTATCTTTGATTTAAAATGAAAAATGTTTATGTTTGTAGATACAGGTTTTATTCCAGGGCTGCTACTGCTGTAACTAAAGCTACCTGAGTTGATGCTAAATTAATTTCTGTCTAATGCACAATTTATTGCTTATTGATTAATAATATTTAGACCTCAAGCTAAAATGATGATTGAGTTGATAATGATAACAATGCTTTAAAATTGAGACATAATAGGAAAAATCAATTTGTTTTCTTTTGTTGTAGAAAAGGCATTTTCTACAAAAAGACTTCTGGGTTTGCCAAAGCAAAAACAGAAGTAGAATATTTAAATTGATTCTATCTATTGAAGATGAACATTATGATGCATGTATGGAACCAGATTTTTCTTTTATTTCAAAAATCAAATGAAAAAAAAAAACTCAATATTTGCCAATCGTTTAATTAAATGGGTATTTATACATGGTATTGACAAGTTTATACAAGCATTGGGTTAAAATTCAACAAATATAAATGCTGATTTGAAAAAAAGTTATTGCGTAACTTGCTGAATCCTAATAAAAACTTTAAATAATTTTCTTTGTATTTTCTAACAAATAAAATCTTAGGGATTTATGTTGGATTATAGTTATAAAGGTGTGTAGAATTCTTTCGGGTTTTAAAAAAAAAGTTATAGTACCCCTGGTTAGATAGACCACCATATTTTAATTTTAGATGAACTGCCACATTTTAATTGAACTAATTAAAATAGAAAAATAAAAAAAATAAAAAGTTGTTACAATAATAATAAAAGCTGTGAAGAGATCTGCATAATTTTATTTAGTGAAGGCCATTACTCAGACTCCAAAGAAAAAATTCTAAAATAATTAAACATGATGCTTAGTTTTAAACTAATTCTTACAACAAATTTTGCACAAGTTTATGGAGATTTCAAGTTGAACATCTTAATTCTAAGCCATCTGTTGTGTTAAGAAGGTTTTTTTTTTATACAATTTTATGAATATAAAATTTTAACTAATTTGTTTTTTACTATTTATTTGCTACATTATGCTTTTTTTTTTTTTTTTTTTTTTTTTTTTTTTTTTTTTTTTAACATCTTCACTTCCAACAAGGCTGCAAGCAACCACTATAAGAGTTGGAAGTTACTGGAAGAGAAAAGACTAAATCTGTAGAGCAAGATAACGATTGACTGATGACTTAAAAGATTGCAAAAGTTTTTAGGTGTAGTCATGACAATAATCTGATTAAACTATTACTATGACTAAACTATTGAGGCAGGCGAGGCTTCTTAATTGTGATGGAAACCCCCAATTTAATTGTCAGTAAGGACAGGTAGAGATAGTAAACTTTAAATGGTAAGCTTCCTTGTGGTAAAATTATAATAAAAGTCCTGATCAGCATTGCAGGTTATTGCAAAGAAGTGCATCTAAATGTAAACTCTTCCATAATGTTATATTTAGGTAGAAAAATGGCGTTGCACAACATAATGAAACATTGCACAAGTGTAAAACCTTGGGCGTTTAAATATATATGTAAAAAAAGAGTTTTATTCATTGTTTTTTTTTAATCTGCCTAGTATATTTAATTTTAGCATGCTCCTGTGACTTAACTTCTAAAGGTTGCGATATTAACTGTTGCTGTGATGCAGATTGTACATCAAATGACAAAATTGCATTTTCTACATGTATTGCAATGCCAGTAGTGTATGTAGTTATTCCATTTTTTTTTTAGAATGTATAATGTTATTATTTATTTCACTACCACCATCATCATCACCATCATTATTGTCATTATCATTGTCATCATCATCTTCATTGTCATCATCATCATCACCATCGTCATTATCATTATTGTCATCATTACATAATCATCAGATATCTACATTGTTTTGCATCCTGGGTATGCATGTATTTTGCTAATATTCATACATCATCTATATTATTTGATGATTGATGAATCAGATTTGGTATTGCATCCTGGGTATTAATTTATGTGTACTTTATTAATGTTAAAAAGACTTTGAACACTATAATTTTTTAAATTTATAATTTAAGTGGGGAGAGTTGCCAAAATTGGAACAGTGCCTAAATTAAAACATTTATTTTGGAAATTGCATTTATTTTGGAAATAAAATCTGTATATTTTTTGTTTTTCTAGAAAAATGTCTTATTTTTTATGTTTTGAGAGATTCTGAAAGTTATCCCTTAAAAGATACACGTGCGCCATTAATTTAAAGCTTTCTTGTACATTTTTTTTTAGCGATCTAATTTAGTATTCACACTATATTGATTGCACTGGGTAAACTATACTATTGTGAGCTATTTGATTTTTTTGTGTTTAATTCAATGGAATTTAAAAACTAAGTAATAACATAAGCCTTATAAATTGCTTCAAGCATAATATTGCAGTTGTACAACTTAGTCCGAAGACCAGAACTATAAAGTTTTTTTTCATTTAATCAGTATAAAATCTAAGGGTTGAAGAAATAGTTTAGGCACAATTTAAAAAAATGAATAGTTACAATCATAAACCACAAAATTAAAACTTTTTTTTGTGATTTTTAATTAATAAAGTAAAAGAATGACGTAATAGTTAAAGCTTTTGTACAATTTTTTGTTTGTAGAATTTTATTATTTCTTGTTTGTTGGTGTTCCGATTTTGGCAATCAGTAAATTTTTATTTTAAGTTTTTTTGTGGTTTAACGGTTATTTTGAAATATTTGGTGTCTGTAATTGATTGTTTTTTAGTTATATTTATCATTATTTTCTTAAATTTTTTCTATAGTAATAAATTTTATTTAAACAGTTTGTACTTTTATGCAGACTTAACTACACTGCATATGTAAATGGAAAAAAAATTGGGACATATTTCTAAATATGCATTTTTAAATTTTCTAACTGCTAATATTTATATAATCCATTTGGAATTTTTTTTTTTTTTTACAAAAGTTAATAGAGTTTGTTTTATTTTTATAATAAAAAATCAATCTTCATGAACCAGACACCACTCATGCTGAACCAGATTAAATGTTGTAAAATTTTATTCAGTTGTTCTTGTTCAGCATTATCATAAAGTTATGATTTGATAAGTTCATAGTACTTGATTGAAATAGGGGGAACTCAACAGAATTGGGTTTCTATATTTTTTTTTGAATAACAATGTATTTGATTAAGATGATTTGAAAGAATCAATTTTAGCATATTCCTAAAGCTTTGCACTACCTCATATAGTTTTCTCATATGTGTTGATTAGTTTCCAGGTAGGCTACAACATTACTTCTACCATTGTGTTGGTATGATTTAATTGATCGTCTTCAATATGGCTGAAGCACACCATCTTTTTATCTCTCTCAATTTTTCTAGCTGATTATAACAAGATTAACTATATTTTAATGTTGAAATAATTAAAATATTGCAAACTATGTCGAGGATGTCAATCTATGGAATGCCATTTGAGAACCAAGATACAGAGCAAAAAAATTTATCTTTTATAATAGACACGCTGAGAATCAATATAATTATTTATTTATTATTTATTTTTTTCTATTAACTTTTAGTTTAATAAATGAAAATAAAATAAATGACTAAAGAAAATTGTTTTATGTTTTATAAATCAATGCATTGGTTTCCTACAATGATAAAAAAATATTTGTTCTTAAGAAAGTTTTTATGAAAAATAAGAAATAATTATAATTAGAAATAACAGTTTTATAAAAAGGAGAAAACTATGGAGTAGAGTGAGTAGAGATTTTTTTTTTAAATTACTTTTTTTCTTATTTTGAGCACTGAAATAATTTAAAAAATTTGTTTTTAGGCGATATTGATTTATATTAGTTTTGTTAATTAATTTTATTATTTATATTAATTTTATACCTCTATGGTAACTGTTTGATGATATTTTGTTGTTTTGAAAACCTCAATGTACCAGTTTATCATAAATTATAGTAAAGTGAATTTGTGTAATACAATTATTATTATTAGTTTTTTTAATAATATAACTGAATTATGAAGTTATTTTTGAATATAGCCATTATATTCAAATATTAAGTAAGCATTAAAAAAGCAAATTTCTAATCAAAATAATCATATCATTTAGTTGTTTGATTAGAATATAATAATAAGTAATAATAATAAAGTAGTCTGTGGCCACACTGGGGTAGAAAGAAAACATCTGTGAAAATTTTATTTAAGCCAGCAAGCCAGGTGAGCATAATGGAAAAAGTTCAATGTTCTTTTTGCAATGATGTTATGTCGAAGTAAAACACAAATAACCATGCATATTAAAAAATGTAGAAAATATCCAGTTGAAGTCAAATACAAATTTCAAAATGATGACACAGTCATGTCAAACAAGTCATGACAGAAACAACATAAATTAAAACAAAATGCAAATTTAAAAACTTTATTTCAAGTAAGCATTGTATTAGTACAAATGTCACAAACATTATTTCAGACCCTTTAAAACATTAAAAACCAATTTCTAAAAGTTGTAAATCCTTTTCAATGTTTGATAGCCAGAAGAAATGTGAAAAGATATCAAAAAAAAAATTTTTTTTTCCTGCATAGTTTATTTGTTTTTAATTGTTTATCTGAGATTAATAATGTCATAGGAATCAATTGATGCACATCTATCCAGAGCTATTTACGCAAGTGGTTCACCCATGAGTTAAGTTGATAATAAATACTGGAAAACCTTTTTAAATAACTTACGCCCAACTTATCAATTCCTATCAAGATATGAAATGTCAAACATATAATTTAAAAATTAAAATTTGAAAATTATTTACATTTTATCAACTTTGTTATCAACTTTGTGTTGACATTGCCTATTATATGAAACTCATTACCTTCAGGTAAAATTTACATGAATGTATATTTATTTTTAAAAATAAATAATAAATACATTTTTGTTTAAATAATTTTTAACTCTCTCCCTACTCTTAACTCTTACTTTAGTTCTTCATTTTTTTTTCTAATTTTATAACTGAATAGTTTGTAAAGTATTTGCATAAAAGTAATAATTTTCAGGTTCGTCAAGTCATTTTGGTGAATACATAGCAGATGAAATATGAAGGGTATTGGAAAAAATTATTTCTAAAAAAGTCTACAAAATAGTAACAGACAATGCAATAAACATAAAAAGGGCATGGAAACTATTAATAAACAGCTATCCTCTTCTTAATTGCTATGAATGTATATCTTATGGTCTCAATTTGCTTTTTAATGATTTAATAAACATACTTACTCTTTGTGTGTTAATGTCACAAGTAACAGATATTGTAAAGGAAATCAAAAACTTTCTTATGTTAGGTGCAATATTTAAAGAAATTTAAAAATCAACAGTTGATTCAAACATTTCATTAAAACTACCGGTAAAGACTGAGTAATTGTTATTTTTATACAATTAATTAAAACACAGTTTTGTATAGTAATCTATTTTATTTCTAGTTTTATATTATTAAATTAGGGCATGTGATTAAAATCTATTTATTAATAGATAGGGTTCCATTGTGTCTTGAGAGTATACAGAAAAATAAACAGTGTTTAAAATCTTTAGCCATCTCTGACTGATGTGTATTAAATTCTACTACAAAAAATAGCTTGTTGTCAGATATTTTTTGGAATAAGGTTCAAGAATTTTTAAAGCTGCTAGCACCAATAGCTGATGCAATCAAGATAGCAGAAGCCGACAGCCCAATGTTGTCGTCTTTAGTTGAAATCTTTTATAGTTTAGAAAATAGTATTAATCAAAACATAGTAGGAAGTCCCTTAACAAAACATAGTAGGAAGTCTCTTAACAAAACATAGTAGGAAGTCCCTTAACAAAACATAGTAGGAAGTCCCTTAACAAAACATAGTAGGAAGTCCCTTAACAAAACATAGTAGAAAATAGTATCAATCAAAACATAGTAGGAAGTCCCTTAACAAAACATAGTAGGAAGTCCCTTAACAAAACATAGTAGAAAATAGTATTAATCAAAACATAGTAGGAAGTCCCTTAACAAAACATAGTAGGAAGTCCCTTAACAAAACATAGTAGGAAGTCCCTTAACAAAACATAGTAGGAAGTCCCTTAACAAAACATAGTAGGAAGTCCCTTAACAAAACATAGTAGGAAGTCCCTTAACAAACAAAAGAAAAAGTAGAAATAAAATAACTATTTGCTAAATGAAAAACATTTTGCTCAACAAAAATTCATATGGCTGCAAATCTACTTGACTGCAAATATCAAGGAAGATATTTAAATGAAGAACAAAAGGTTAAATTATTTGTATTTTTTGTTTATTTTTATTAAACTAAGTAAAACCATTAATACAATATCTATATTTTTTTAAACAGATTGATGCATGTGAAGTAATATATTCAATTTCTGTAAACTCACCAAATACCAACTTAGATATTTTAATGGCTGATTAATCAAATTACCAATATAAAGAGTTTTTTCAAAAACTTTTATATGGACAGCTATTGACCTAACATTTGGTCAAACTGGTGGAAGGAATTATGTTCATCTACTGAATTATCAAAAGTAGCAGCAAAAATTCTTCAGCTTCCTGCTGCAAGTGCTGCTTGTGAAAGAGGTTTTAGCAGTTATGCAAATATTCACATTGCCAAAAGAAACAGAAAATGAAATTGCAAATGAAAGAGCAGCAAAATTAGTGTTTGTATTGCAAAGTTTAAAACTTGAAGCAATGGATAAGAGT